AAGGAAAAGGGAAGGGAGGGGGAAGAGAGGGGAAAAGGAAGGGAAAGGGAAAGGAAAAGGGGGGAAGAAGGAAAAGGAATGGAAAGGGAAAAGGAAAGGAATTGGAAAAAGGAAAGGTAAAAAGGGGGAAGGATATATGAACATGAACATGAACATGAACATATATACACACATATATACACACACATATATACAGATACAAACACACACAACTAGAGAGACAAGGTAAGTAAGACCAGACTGACTGACTGACCGACCGACCGACCGACCGACGAGTGTTAGAGGGCAGCCAACTCAAGCCACGTCGAACCCCCCATAAAGAAAGATCATAATCAAAAGAATAACAGTATAGCAAATTTGTAGATTAGAGAAGGAGAAAAACATCTAGGCTCCGAAATACACTCACAAACACCTCTAGACGGTCATTAAAAAAGATCCATGTCACAGCTACTGCTTTGCTTACCGGTCAACCGATACGTACACATACACCTTACACAATCCATCCATCATCTATCATCTAAAGAAGACATACAAGGCAAAGCAGAAAGACGATATTTTTCATCGTAGCAGCTAGAAACACCTTCAGATCATTCAACAGTCCGCAATCTAACATCTTCCGTTGAGTAGAGCCCACGCAAGTTCAAGTTTAGTTTTCCATTTTTTCAAAGAAGTTTGACTACCCATTTTTCCACCCCCAGTTGCAAAACCACACACTCATTTTTGCTCGAAGATCATTCGCTCGCTAAGACGGATCGTAGAGAGGTTCGAGCCGCGCTGAAGAAGATCGTTGGGAGGCTTTGGTTGCTCTTAAGAAGAGACTCTATGCGCCTAGGCTTGGGAAAGCGCTGGTGTCGCTGGTGTTGATGGACGCAGCGCCACCGCGGGGAGCACCACTGCGACCGCCTCTGGGAGGTCCATCACCGCGTCCGCCACGACCACGGCCTTCGCCACGTCCTCGGAAGTCGCCTCGTCCTCCGCGACCACGGCCCTCGCCACGTCCACGACCCTCACCACGGAATCCACCTCCACGTCCTCCACGTTGCTCGGGGGCCTCGACGAAGCGCTGGTCAATCTCGAGTACCTGCTTCTCCTTGCGCTCCTTGACACGCTTGGTCTTCCCGGCAGATGCTGCGAAGAAGTCGGCCTCCTCATCCTTGGAAAGCTCCTTGGCTGCTGCCCACTTCTTGTCCTGCTTGCTGCCCTCGTTAGCCTTGCGGGCCTCGGGGACCCCAGCGCCAAGAGCCTCTCTCTTCTCCTTCAAGATTTGTTGGTAAGCCTCGAAACTGATGGAGTTGTCCTCTGGCTCGGCCTCGGCGTGCTCGGCAGAATCGGTGGGTGCGGCATCACCGGCCAGAGCCTCCTTGGACTCGGCATTGGCAATAGCTTCGCCAGCTTGCTCATCGGCGAGTTCGGCTCCGCCCTCGATGGCGCCCCAAGCGTGGTTGGCCTGTTTCTCAGACTCGCTGTGCAACGTCAATATGGGCCCATGGTGTGCTGGGTAAGATCTCTTACCCTCCGACGCCACGGCTGTGTCTGTCGAAGTTGCCACCTCCTCGGCCACCACGTCCACCGCGCCCACGTCCATCGTATGATCCCTGGGCACGGGCAGGTCTATCTTGTCGGCCCTCCTCTGTGGGCTTGGATCGGTTGTTGGCGCTGCCAGCGTTGCGGTCACGGAAAGCTGTAGTTGGTAATCGTGTTAGTGGTATGCGTAATTGGGGAGCCCCATATGAGCAATTGAGATGGAGAAACGGATATGCATCGCATCAACTGACCAGCTTCATTGCCGGCGAGACCTCCGCGACGACTACCTCGACCTTCAGTTCCTGCAGTAGCCTTGGAAGCTGGTGCAACGCCATCGGCATTACGCTTGATGGTTCTCGCGGGGGTCTTGTCGATGACCTTTACAGGTGGCTCGGGTTCCTTGTCGGAGTCCTCATCGTGCGTATTGCCTATTTGTCACATTTCATTAGTCGCGTGGTCCCGGGGATTGATTTTGATTGGGACAGGCCTCTGCGTACCGAGAAGCTCGTAAAGGTTCTAGGTGCGAGAACGTCAGCTGGAGGGTCCCGATGATCAATTCGCATTGATGCTGGAGCTTTGGCGCACATCTCTGGATGCAGCGAGGGAGGACGGAGACTCACCTTTGATGCAACCGACATCTTGTCCGCCTATCAAAGCGCCTCCGAAGAAGGCCTTGCTACCGAGAGAACAATTCGGAGAGGGTTGGAGGGATGATCGAGACGGACAGGTTCCTAGTTGCTAGGACTCTGTCTCTCGAGAGAAGTTGTTGAGGTGGAGTGTTGGGGATCGGGAGAGGTCGGTGGTTGGTGGTAGGTGGTTTTGAGAAATTGGTACCTGTTGACTACTGAATCTAAATTTCGTCGACCCAAGCTCCTAGGATGCACGCTAAGTCCGAATGCGGCTTAGTAGGTGCATTTAAACGAAAATTCAAGAGAAGCCCTAAAGACATAGGGCTTTATTATTCCCCGTTCTGCCGTTGCTTTGATCCACGAAATTCGGAGGCTGATCAGATTATTCCTGCTGCAGAGTTACGGATCCCCCGTCTTAGGAGTGAAAAGCACGCAGGAACGGTGGTCACGGTGCTCGGCGCAGCCCCTACCATTGTAGGGAACGTCGAGGACAAGATTTTGTATGAAGTTTGCCAGGAATAGGACAATCAGTATCTACCTATTGGGTCCTGCATATTATATCACGGGAGATCACGACAGTCATGAACTTCGTAGGCGGCTTCGGGGTCACATCCTAGTTGCCTCTCGTCTCGACACACCCACTTTCCTTTCAACACGAGGGTGAACCAGACAGAGGCTTTTGGTAAATGGGACTGGTCTTGGATGACCCCGTCCTGTACGCGTTCGTGCTAGTACTCCTCTCTTTTGACGAGGTCTGCGAGGCTTGGGCGTCGCCAAACGTACAAAATAGAAGCAGTGTATATGTGTGCAACTGAGTGAGCCCTGCTTGGCGTCAATGATACTCGTGCGCGGGAGCCTCCTTCTCAACCGTAAATGTTGTCCAGACCCAAGCTGAAGGCTCCACCAACCCTCCGATATAAACCACGAACACCGACAATGCTGTGCTGTGCTGTAAATGCCGCGCTCCCATGCTCTAAAACGCCACGAATTTTCTCGAACACTTTTCCGTCCCTTGGGTATCTTTTTCGCTCTTATCTCATCGAACTCGTATCAAAAGAAAAGGAAGTCGGGAATTGCCTGCGCGAATGCGATCAGCTATCTGCAGGTAAGATCCACATCTGTTTAGACCATATTTCGCTGGGCGGGGACGCATCACCTGCTCGACAGTTACTCACATTGAAGCAGAAAGTCCAAAGGGGTCCATGTCGAGCATCGGGTCGTAGGGCTCCATGGGCTGCTGTGTCATGGAGGCATATCCTTGAGGATTTTCACCCTGTTCTATGCCTTGGCCCTGTGCTGGATTGCCGAGCTGCTGGTATTGCTGCGTCGTCGCGGGAATCGATTCGGGGTAGGGGCCTGGCCCGGAGTCGGCTGGATCTTGATCGTCAACCATGTCGGCTTGCGCATCGTACTCCTGTTCTGTACTCACGGAATCAACCTAGGACGAACATAGTTCGAACAAGGAAAGTGAAAAGGGAGGGGTCAACTTGCCGAGTTGCTTTATATGCTCCATATGACTTCGGTAGTCAGTGGGCGCCGGCGGGTAGTACGCCGTACCAGGGGCCAGTCCTCCCGTACCTGTCTCGCTGATCCCCGGTCCTGCTGAGGCCGCGGGGGCTCCCATTCCTCGAGCATGTTCACCCAGTCCGGAGGGCCCTGGCAATCCTTGAGAGTGTTGTAATTTGGCCGCTTGAAGCCTTTGTTGCTGTTGATGCAGCTGCTGCTGTTGATATTGAATCTGCGAGTCGGGAGCTGGGGGCGTCATGACACTCGGGGGAAGGAAGCCAGGGGAGAGTGGTGTGGGGGAAGAGGCGTGAGAAGATGGCGTCGGGCGCGACTGAGGCGACTGAAGAGTCGCGCCCGGCTCCAGCTTGGGAGCAATGCTTGAGTTCGATCGTCTGGCCTGGTGATGCCTGTTCATCATCGCCCGCTGGGCTGTTGGTGCCTGGGCCATGTTCGGCATGTGGGTTGGCCCCAGGTGAGGGCTCCCCGTCTTTGCGCGCAGTTCCGCCTGTACGTTGATACCTAGGGATAGATGTTAACAGATGTAGATAGTCATTGATGCCCAAAGGGCTCCCCACCCTTTTCCAGGAGAATGCGTTCCAGCAACGAGTTCTTGTATCTCAGCATGAGACATTCGTCCGCGGCGCCACGGTGGGCAATTTGCAAAGTGTGCAAATTAGTCTCATGAGCTCGAATGGTTTCCTCTAGCTGCTTGATGTACTCAGTCCGGCGCTCTCTAAATGCAGCCTGGGCTTGCCGATTTCGCTGTTTGCGCTCCTCGGAAGTGGCATAGATCTGTAGAAAAATCAGTAGGTAGCGGAAGGCAGCGGAGTCACGAAGAGGTAGGTCATAGTAGCAACACACCGGCTTTCGGCCCCCCTTCCTCTTTTGCTGGCCAGCATTTTCTTGCGGTGCGTCGTTCCCAGGCTCTGGAGAAGGGGAGTTGACACCCACCGACTCCTCGGAGCCATCTCCGGGCTCCTTCTTGTCAAGCGACATATTGTCGGCCATTTCCTCCAAATGACAAGGAAAACCCCAAGCAGTACTGCCCCACTACCACCACCCCAGTGAGCGGCAATCGTTCCTGGACTGTTTCGACGGCCACGGTCACGAGTGATCGAGAGCCGTAGAAAGGTCAAGCTTGACACAGGCAGTTTGGATGGGGCTGCGGTTGCGGTTGCGGTTGCGGTTGCGGTTGCGGTTGCAGTTGCATCCGATATCGTATCAAATCTAGCTTCTCTGTCTGTCTGTCTATCTGTCTGTCTATCTGTCTGTCTGTCTGTCTGTCTGTCTGTCTGTATGTCTGTCTGTCTGTCTGTCTGTCTGTCTGCCTCTCTGGCTGGCTGGCTGTCTTGTCCGTCTGATCGATGGGTACCCGAGGACTTGGTTCCTGGCACTAAAGACAACGGTCGAGAGGGAAGGTTGAAGAGAGAAGACGGACAGATAGACAGATGAGAGACGAGATGGAATGAGTGAAATTCATAGAGGAGGGCCTGGGTCCGGTAAAAGATTGGAAGATGAGAAGGGGAGTGCGGTAGTTGATATTGAAATTGAAATTGAAATTGAGATGGAAATGAAAATGGAAATGGATCAGTGCAAAGTCTGCTGCGAGCCCGGGGAGGCCTCGTTAGTGGTGGAGACGAGTCAGATGGGAGAGTGA